TTTGTAAGGTTAGTAATGCATGCCTCTCATGCGAGACTGCTATGAAATTACTCGCGATTCAATTGTGGCGAAACTTACTAAAATATCATTGTTGACCAATTTTTTTACCTAAATGCTATGCGAATAGTGTTATTTTCTAATCTGCCACAGGGGCAAGTTCGTTATCCGGTGTAGCGAACTCGGTATGCTGACGTGTCACGTTTCTAGTGGACACCAACTTGATTTTAACCAAGTTCGCCTATATGGTAGGCGAACTTCATTTTTTTTATTTATTTTTTTAAAAATTTGATACTTGTTATCCACTAAAAATATGACAAGTCAGCAAATTGAGTTCACTACACCGGGTAGCGAACTTGCCCCCATGGCAGATTGAAAAATAACACTGTTCGCGTGACATTTAGGTAAAAAAGTTGGTGAATAGTGATATTTTGGTCCGTGTTCCTCAATTGTGGCCATGGGACGACAGCTAAATTACCTTTTAGGATTTTTGAGCAAAATAATTACACAATTAAAGTTGATGGGATAATTTTTGGTCATAATTTTATAGGGTCATAATTTTTGAATGGGGTATTCAAATCAAATATTTTTTTTTATTTCACATAACTTTTCGAGATCTATAGAATAACACCTCATTTGACATATTTTATCTCCCACAAACATAATTCAAATTTGTAACAATAGTTTCACAATTACAAGAACATTTAAATCCAGAAACTCCTGAGTTCTTTTCGAACCAATACCATGAGCTGCAGCACGTGTCATCGATTTCTTGGCCAAGTTTTTCCATGGTTAGCCTCTGAGCAAACTATATTTTCAACAAAAAGATAAGTACTTTAAGACTTTTCGTAAGAATAAACATCGTTATCCATTGTTGCACGTGCGTGTTAGTGGAGAGGAAATCACTGTTATTATTTGTTATTGTTGGATAGTTGAAAAATAAGAAAACGAATTAAATAACATCGTTCATATAGATAAAACGTGTCAATGGATGGCATGTGTTGCAGCTCATGGTGTTGGTTCAGAAAGAACTCAAGAGCTTATAGATTTAAACGCTCTTGTAATTGTGATACTGTTGCTCCAAATTTGAATTATGTTTGTGAGAAATAAAATATGCCAAATGAGATGTCATTGCGTAAATATCAAAAAATTATATGAAATAAAAAAAAAATCTGATTTAGATACCCAAGTCAAAAGTTATGGCATTATGAAATTTTATGGTAACGAAACTGCTTACGAGGTGTTGACATGATATTAGTCCGGTAAAAATCAATGACAAAACTAGTCTCGTCAGTACCAATAACATATTTGACTTCATTAATTTGAAAAAATTTATTCAATTAATTTTTACTAAATAATTCTTTTACGCAAAAATCCTAGAAAAATGCTTTTGCTATGGGATGACACATGATTGTCTTATTATTTGATGGGGCATGCGGAATAAATCCCCGTTTGAATGAGGTAAAAGGCTTACTGTATCAGATTAATATATGGTATTTGAAAACATCATTATTTGAGAGATCTTGTTAAAAAATTGCATCATTTTCTCCAAAAATTGCAAAATCTATAACATTTGCGAAATATATTATTACAATTTGCGGGGAATGGAGCTTCACCTAACCTCTTAAATATGCCTGTCCTAACTCCAAGACTGCGAAGTTAATTGGTTGGTGACTTGTGCTTGCTTCAACATAAATGCTTATTCCCCCCGCCCCTTCCCTTCATTTCCTGAAAAAAATTATGCCATGCTTAAAAAAAAGTTTGATTATAAAGGATGATTATAAATTGATAATAGTATAAATATTATGAGAGGATAAAGCCAAATTCAAGATTATAAAGTGTGACCTTTATAGATTAACAAAAAACTATACAATTTAAAATACAAGTAATAAGGAGGATCATATCCCAAAAAAATAAATAAATTAAAGAGGCAATATTGTACTCATTGTAATCTATCTTAAAATTATTCAATACCTTTTTTCATCAGCAATAAATTATAAAATTATATAGATGAATTTTTTTGAATTATATCCAATTAATATGTTTATTTTTTTTGAAAAGAGATTTTTTTTTTTTACTTTTAGAAGGAATTTTGAGAAATATTGCCTCACAGCTGCAGGATTATGCTTGCATGAAAACTAAATGTTTTTTTTTTTTTACTTTTAGTTTGAAAATCTCACACAGTCCTATGCTTGCATGTTCATTTTTTAAAATTTCTGCATGTCATGCTTTGGTCGTGAGGTTTTTACTAAACTTTAAATTTTTTATGCACTATCTGTTTGAGATTCTATTCTTGAATCTTGGGTTAATGATCCTGATTTTGCTTGTTCATATAGTGCATTATAAAAGCATCGAATTAGCTAGTGTGAACACTCTATCTTGACATGTTTATTTATATTATTATAAATTTTTATATGTTTATTTTTTTTTTTTGGAAAAAACATTATATGTTGATACGTTTATACATATAAATTTTTATACGTTTATTATTGACAGGAGAAAATTTTAAATTAAATTGCCATCAGAGATATCATCATAATAACGATACGAAAAGAAGTATGAGCATAATAGTCGCATTTTCTCTCTTGTCATTACTTTTATTATAATAAACGTGTGAAAATTGAAAAATTAATTTGATTTTTAAATGGAGTAAAAGTTAAGGTGAATCAATTACAGAAGGAAGTGAATCAAGTAATTTTTCACTTTAATATTAATTTGATTCAGCCTACGTGAGGAAAGATAAGGACGAGGAAATTAACGGAGTGATCTTGCACATTAAAAAAGAGACATGAAAGTGAATCACGAAAAAAGAAGGGCAATATTTTATGGGTTTTATGATCTATACACGCATATAAAAATATCTGAGTTCTATATATATATTTTTTTACATCCCATGATGTGATAGTTTTTTTTTTTCGAGTAAATTGAAAGGATATTCTCTAATTGAAAACCGAAACCACATATATCTTTATATATGAATAAGAAATAAAATTATTTTTTATAATATGAAAAACATTAAATCCATAATTAATAACATGTAACAAACCTGGGAAAGAGTATGATTGAAGGAAATTGATTGAAAGACTCAAAGATCTTTAAATATCCAATACACATATCCAGTACACAGACAAAGATGAGAAAATGTCAATCAAACAAAGAAAGAGGAAAGCAATATATAGAATAACGTAAAGACAATAAATCACAATGAGCGATGGTGGCAAAAACACACTGGCAAAAGAGAAGGGTTAAAAAGAGCGAGAATTGACGATAAAAGCGTCGCAACACACCTGAAGTTATCCTATCCGCCACTACTCTTATCTTTACTTGGATAATATAATTTTGAGAAAAAACAAGTATTATGTTGTAGGAAAATTATTAGGTCATGTCATAGAGACAATTAATTGTGGGGGTCACTATTTTTAAAATAAAAGAAAAATAAAAGAATTGTGGACCCATTTTTATGTATATGTAAAAAAATTGGTTGTGTCACGTGAAAGGAAGAAAATATTACCCATTAATTTTACTTTGGTTTATATATTTATTTGTAAAATGTCAATTTAACTCAATTTTAAGCTTAAAACGTGAATACTGTGTATGTCTACTCTTTATTTGCCTTGTTTTGATTTTAATTTATTTTTTCATTTTTATTAGAGAATGTGACGGGTGAGGTTCGAATTTTCAACAAAATAACTTAAAACTAAACTGATAAGTGATATTTATAATAATAAGTTTACATTAATATATCCCAGAAACGTCATAAACAAGACACCGATCCCTGATTGATTGTAAACTAGGTCACAGGCAGGCATGTCTTTGAAAAATTGTAATATCGTTGTTTTGATTGATTCTCCAATAGCAAGGGTTGACCAAAATGTCAGTTATTAACGTATTACACTGAAATTGTTTCTGAAGATGATAAAGAAAATTATAAAAGAGAAACACTACAATCAACTTGATAATATTCTTTTTGCTTTTTTGGGTTGCATTTCTCCTCTGTCTCATTCAAATAAATAAATAAATCGATATTATTGATCCGGCTCAATAAACAATAATCCTCAAGCACAAGACGCTGACACGAGGAAGTTGGCTTATTTTATAATATAACGAAAATTGATCAATGCTGTATAACAAAAATAAAAATAAAAATTGATCAATGTTGTTCCTCCCGAACTAAATTACATGATAAATTGGAGGTTAAGTTGGTTGATCAACAACGTTCATTTGTTTGAATTTACTGTTCCTCTACCTAAAAGGTCTTTACAGATTATATCATTTTGAAATTACGGGTAAAATAGAAATAATGAATCTAACAATAACATTCTTCTAACCATCTGGATCAAAGATTCGTGTTTTTTTTTTAAATTTTCTCTCATTTAGCTTTAAGGGGCTGCAGGAATAGATTCTTTCTAATTTTTAGACTAAAACTTAGCGTGAAGTATTCGATTGAATTTGAAACTTAAAGCAACAGCTTTGGCTTTGAGCCAAAAACAAAAGCAAAAACCACATAAAAAATGAGTCTTTTTCTTACTCTCTGAAATTTTCAAAATGATAATCTTGCCAGAAAAGAATCAAAATTTAAAAATCATCTGTAAAACAAATGATATCAAATATTACAGCTTTTCCAGTGAGATATAAAAGAAAACACTGAGATTCAATTTTTTATTTTTATTTTTTAAAAAAGACTAGAAATAATTACTATAAATATAATGGTCCCATATAATACAATCAGGTTGGGTGATCGTGGGTGATAATCTGATTCCATTTGAGATTCACAAATAAGCATTGGAGGATTTGGCCTTTGGACTTTGGACTTTGTGGTTTGCAGTGCACAGTTGGACAGATAACAGCTTTTACAAGCCAGATGAGATTATTTGACTTTTAGCCAGGACTTCAGCTTGTGGGTCCCACCCCCCAACATAGACAAGGGAACCTCAATTCTTAATTGATGTGGGCAAAATCAAAAATTGATTTTAATATCACTAACAAATTTGGTTTGTGTGAGAGTCAATGTCCCTTCTCCCTGGATGTTTAAGAGCTGAAAGATTGAGGGTTACTTACTTTGAATTGAAATTTCTCTCCTTTTTCTTTTCTCTTCTTCTTTTCCTTCTCTTTTCTTTTTGGTTTTCAATTTAAGGAGAAAATCATACAGTGAAGATATCATTATGGTTTGGTTTTACTTCTCTCTTGGTAAAAAGAGAATTTGATGTGGGGCGCTTTGCTTTAATTATGCTGCAGTGAACTGAATAGGGAGCTAGGTAGAGAGAGAGAGAGAGAGAGAAAAGAAAGAGAGGGTCTTTCTTCACTTTTGATGGCTATTCAGGTCTTTTGCGGAGTGTGTCTGGCTACTGATCGAGGTTCAGGGTTTCTATTACTTGTTGTTTGATTCTACTTGAAACCCATTTCTCCAAATTTCTTTTTAAATTTAATTGTTGAGTTTCTCGTTGCTGCGAGTTGCTTTGCAAATTTTGGGATCTGGGTTCTAGGGTTTGAAGGGTGTGAGCTTTTGACTTTTCTCTCTCCTTGGGTTTCTTTCCATCTGTTATCTCTGTCTTTCCTTTTTTGAGAAATTGGGTATTGAAACGTATTCTGGGTTCTGGAGAAAATAAAAAAAAAAATACTCTTTGTCTTTCTTGGTTTTCACATGACATGGTGAGCTGAGTTGTCTGTTTTTCTCTCCAAAATCTCTTCTTTCATGAATTGGATCGTTGGGGAAATCCAGAGTTGTTGTCTTTAAGATTCTAGGTTTCTGATCTCCTAGCATTTTTGGCTTTTGGTTGATGGAGTTGAAGCTCAATTCGTTATAGATTGATGGGCTAAACCCTCTGGTTTGTGTTGTTTCCAGTAATTCAATAAAGCTTCCTTTCTGGTTATCATCACAGATTGCTTTGTGTAAGGAGAGAAGAAAGCCGTCATGCATCTCTCACTATGGAAGCCCATTTCTCACTGTGCTGCTCTGATCATGGACAAAAAGAGCAGGAAGAAAGATGATTCCATGGTTGAGGTAAGGAGAAACCCGACAATGCTCCGGAAGCTGCAAGAAAACAAGCTAAGGGAAGCTCTTGAAGAAGCTTCTGAAGACGGGTCACTCTCCAAATCTCAAGACATAGAGCCTGACTCTGTTGGCAATCAGGATGAGAGCCTTGGGAGATCCCGATCGCTGGCCAGGCTGCACACCCAGCGCGAGTTCCTTCGTGCTACCGCCCTTGCAGCCGAGCACATATTCGAGTCTGAGGAGGCAATTCCCAGCCTCCAAGAAGCATTTTCGAAGTTCCTCACTATGTACCCCAAGTACCTGTCCTCAGATAAGGTTGATCAGTTGAGGTCTGATGAATATTCACATTTGTCACCAAAGGTATGCCTTGATTACTGTGGATTTGGACTCTTCTCTTTTGTTCAGACCATTCATTATTGGGAGTCTTCTACATTTAGCTTGTCTGAGATAACTGCAAATTTGAGTAACCATGCAATTTATGGTGGTGCTGAGAAAGGAACTGTGGAGCATGATATAAAGACTAGAATTATGGACTATCTGAATATCCCTGAGAATGAATATGGCCTTGTTTTTACTGTTAGTAGAGGATCTGCTTTTAAATTGCTGGCTGAGTCATACCCTTTCCACACAAACAAAAAATTGTTGACCATGTTCGACCATGAGAGCCAGTCTGTTGCTTGGATGGCTCAAAGTGCTAGGGAGAAAGGTGCCAAAGTGTACAGTGCATGGTTTAAATGGCCAACCCTCAAACTCTGCTCCACTGATTTGAGAAAACAGATTTCCAACAAGAAGAAGAGGAAGAAGGATTCAGCTACTGGTCTTTTTGTGTTCCCAGTTCAATCTAGAGTAACTGGGGCTAAGTATTCATACCAGTGGATGGCCCTGGCACAGCAGAACAACTGGCATGTCTTGCTTGATGCTGGATCATTGGGCCCCAAGGACATGGACTCGCTTGGTTTGTCCCTATTCCGGCCTGATTTTATAATTACATCATTTTACAGGGTGTTTGGGTATGATCCCACAGGTTTTGGTTGTCTTCTGATCAAGAAATCAGTTATGGCAAGCCTTCAAAATCAGTCTGGGAGTACTGGGTCTGGAATGGTGAAGATTACCCCCGAGTTTCCAATGTATTTGAGTGATTCTGTAGATGGTTTGGATAGATTGGCTGGGATTGAAGACGATGATGAGGTCACTGGGGCTGGTGATAAGGCTTCTGAAACTCGTCAGGGATTACAGTTACCTGCCTTTTCTGGTGCATTCACGTCTGCACAGGTCAGGGATGTATTCGAGACTGAAATGGATCAAGACAGCTCTGAAAGAGATGGAACTAGCACTATATTTGAGGAGACTGAGAGTATATCTGTTGGAGAGGTGATAAAGAGCCCTGTCTTCAGCGAGGATGAGTCATCAGACAACTCATATTGGATTGATTTGGGTCAGAGTCCATTGGGGTCTGACAATGTAGGTCAATCAAATAAACAGAAGATAGCTTCTCCCTTACCACCCTTCTGGTTCAATGGGAGGAGGAACCAGAAGCAACATTCTCCAAAACCAACTTCCAAGATGTATGGCAGCCCTATGTATGATGAGAGAGAGGTAAGCTCAGGTCCTCATGATGACCGGCATGTGTTGTCGTTTGATGCTGCTGTCCTAATGTCGCAGGAACTAGACCGCGTCAAAGAGGTCCCTGAAGAAGAGCATATTGACGAAGTTAATCATTATTCAGTAAATGGCAACGGATCAGATCATCTGCATGTCAATGAGATCATGGAAGAACCTGAAACCAGTGAAGTAGTTCATAATGGATCTGTTGCTATGAAAGGATCTTGGCCCAATAATTCAACTTCTCTTGCTCAGCATCGAAGCTTGGAGAATGGCTCCACCTCTAAAATATGTCCTGATGTTAAAGAAAGTGCCATAAGAAGGGAAACTGAAGGTGAATTTAGGTTGTTGGGTAGGAGAGAAGGGAATCGATATAGTGGTGGTAGGTTTTTCGGTTTGGAAGAGAATGAACACAACAGCAGGGGTAGAAGAGTGTCATTCAGCATGGAAGATAAGAGTAAAGAGTACCTAAGCCAGACCCTGGAGCCGGGGGACATATCTGCAACTAGCTTAGATGATGATGAAGTTGCAAGTGACGGAGAATATGGTGATGGACAGGATTGGGGCCGGAGGGAACCGGAGATAATATGTCGGAATATCGATCATGTTGATATGCTTGGTCTCAATAAAACTACACTTAGACTTCGGTTTTTGATAAATTGGCTTGTTACTTCGTTGCTGCAACTGAAGATACCTGTTTCTGATGGGAATGAAAAAGCAAATCTTGTCCAAATCTATGGTCCAAAAATAAAGTATGAAAGAGGTGCAGCAGTGGCTTTCAATGTCAGGGACAGAAGTAGAGGGCTGATCAATCCGGAGATTGTTCAAAAACTGGCTGAAAAGGGAGGAATCTCTCTTGGTATTGGTTTTCTTAGTCATATACAGATTCTTGATAGCTCAAGACAGCATCGTGGAGCTCTGAATCTTGAAGACACTTCTCTTTGCAGGCCAATGGAGAATGGTAGGCGTGATGGAAAAGGTAGCTTTGTAAGGCTTGAAGTTGTCACAGCTTCACTAAGCTTTCTGACTAATTTTGAGGATGTGTATAAATTGTGGGCTTTTGTGGCCAAGTTTCTTAACCCAACATTTATCAGAGAAGGTGGTCTTCCTACTGTTCAAGAAGGTACTGAGACATGAGATGACAGGTGTTGTCAGTGACTCTATTCAATTTTGGAAACTGAAAATGAAAGATTATTTGTGAGAAGTTGCCAAGGGGAACCAGTCTAAAGCAACAGGAAGATTGGATTGGTGATCATTTATATGTTGCTAGATAGCCTAATAGTTATCTCTGCATCAAAGCCAAACAAGTGGGTGGATTTGTTAATTCATGTTTCTTGTTGCTTACATTTTTCATTTTCTTTTTCTTTTTGAGCTTCTTGTAGAGTTGGCTTTAGAGATTTGTTACATATTGGGAAGCCATGGTGTACTTTGAAGCAAGATTTTATGGGTAGAATTTCTGCTGATAAAATACTTTGCTTCTGTTGTATACGAAAGGATTTCCAAATTTTGTAAATAGGTAGTGTTCTTTTCATGCTATAATTTACGCGACCATCCAATATCTGCTTTCTTTGTTGGCTTAAATTTGTTCCTATATTTTTACTGAAACTTGAATTTGACTATTTGTCTGAGGTGAACAAAATCAAATACTCAAAGATAACAATCCTCCATCTCTTATAGCGTTGTTTTTCTCTCTTTTCTCTTCCCTTGTAGGATTTGTTAGACACCCCAAATTCTGAACTTAGGAGTTTTCAATTTTTCTTACCAATTGGAAGTGTGGCCATGAAGGCTACCAATCAGAATTGGTCCTACTTTTAAGAACAAGTGAAATAACAAGAAACGACAAACTGATCAAAACGTGCTTTTTTTGAAATCTTGGGTTTTACTTTTTAATTTTTCTTTATGTTACCTAATACTTATACTTGCATTGTTATCTTACACCAAACATTTTTGTGCGTCTTGCTTGAAAATCGCTACAGCACCTGGAGCAGAATGCAAAGAGGGAAGAGATTGTCAAATTGCGTTATATTAAAAGTAAATCTTAACATCAATCACAGTCAGTATAATGGTAGGAAATGCTAGTTCGTTATGCTTGGGGGATTCTATGCTACCCTTAGAAAGTCTTAATACTTCTAAACTGATGTGATTTAAAGATAAATTGTTAATTACATTAATTTATTTAAGTAATTAAATTAATCAAATAGTTAAGTAATAAATTTATAAATAAATTATTAATTCAGTTTGATTATTAATTAGTAATATATTTCACCTACTTCCCCACTGCTTGGCACTTCTACCAACGCGAAGCATCTGACGTTGAACAAATTAGATCTCTTTGTATGGGGAGTAATAATCATAGTTGGCCTCACCCACTAGGTTTTGTTTCATAAAGGAACTTTTATAGAGGATTTTATAATGCTGTTTTTCCATTCAGCACTTGACAAATCAATGAGCTCGCCATAGGATAAATAGTTGAATTGGGTATGTAATGAGACGCGAACACGTGAGACGTTATAAAAAGGAAGGTAATGAATGTGATGTGCCTTGTGTGGTAAAAGAGAGGAATTGCACTCTGGCCCATTGAATTTTGGGTGCCTTCTCTTTCAAAATATGGGGACAAAATGGGGGAAGAAGAAAAGTGAGAGGAATAAAAATCGGAGAAAATTTTTCTCGTGTAAAAGGGGCCACCAAATAATTAAGTGGGCCTGGGCCACTTAATTATATTTCGTGGTAAAAGTGGATGAATGAAAAAAATACATTTTTTAAAAGAAAAGTAGAGAACATGTAGAGAAAAAAAAAAGGTATGTTTGATTGTGTTCGTATTTTTTTGTTCTTAAAATCAATATTATACAATTCGGCCTTGTCAATGACTCGATCGGGGTACTGGATTAATAGATCAATCGTTGAAGTAGTGGGACACTGGTTGAACTAGTTGTATATAAAGACAAAATTGATTAGGTTGGCCATGTCTAGAACTGCTTTGCATGATTCTGGGTTGGCTTTAATTCCTCTGTATGTTAACATAAAGCTCAAGAATTTTTCTGCTAGCACCCCAAATGCACACTTGTTGGGATTCAGTCGCATGTTGTACTTTCATAATTGTTGAAACACTTCATCAAGATCTTCGCTATGTTAATGAGTTTCAATAGTTTTTACGATTATGTAGTCAATGTATGCCTTTAATATACAACCTATATGTTCACTAAAAACTTCATTCATCATTATTTGGTAAGTGGCACTAGCATTTTTCAAGCCAAATGGCATCACGGTATAGCAATAGGTTGCGTTGTCTATTATGAAAGTCGTGCTTTCTTCATCAGGTTTATGCATAGGGATTTGGTTGTACCCTGAGTGTGCATCCATAAAGAAAGAATTTGATAACTTAATGAATTATCAACTAATTTGTCAATGTTGGGGAGTGGGTAAGAGTCCTTTGGGCAAGATTTCTTTAGATCTGTGTAGTCAACACACATCTTCTACTTCCCATTTGCTTTTTTCACGAGGATGACATTGGACAACCAAGTGGAATAGTTTATTTCACTGATGAATCCTGCTTTGAGAATTTTTTTAACTTCATCATCAACGATTTTCTGCTATTTTGGAGATATCTTTCTTTTTTTGGGCCACACATTTGGCTTTTAGGTCGAGGGAGAGATGATGGCAACAAAATGTTGGGTTAATGCTCGGTATGCCCGACAACTATCCAGGCAAACAAGTCTTTGTTTTTCAAAAGGATTTCAATATCCTTTCTTTTTCTTTCTAGGGCATATGTTGCCCAACTTTAGTAGTATTTTCAAGTTGAGGGCTAACCTGAATCTTCTCTAATTCCCCGTTTGGTTGGGGACGAACACCTAACAGCTCTTTACGTACATCCAAACCAGGCATATTAATGGCTATTTTCCCTTTTTCAGCAACTGTGAGATGATATCTTGGTGCTGATTCAATATTTATTTTGAGATTGACGTTGTAACAACTTCTTGCCAGTCTCTGGTCACCTCTTACTACCACAACCCTCCCTTGGGTGTCTTTAAACTTGACAAGCAAGTGTGGCATAAAAATAATTTCCCCAAAGCCAACTATGGTTGGCCTGCCAATAATAACATAACATTGTAAGCGAATGGGCAATCAATAACATAAAAGCATATCTTAGTAATTTCTGCTCTAGGGAAAATGCGAAAGGTCACTTGCAATTCAATGGTTCCTTTGGCCTGCACACATTCTTTGAAAACCCTAGCAGATCAGTCTAACTAGGTGTGATTTGTTCTTTTGGGATGTTCATTCCCTTGAAGGCTTCCTAGAAGATGATGTCGGCAGAATTATGTTGCGACTCGGCAAGTGCACCGATCGTGAAAGTAATAAAGTGTACCAGAATACGAGATCGTTCCCACGAGGATCAGAATTTTCAAGCACTAGTTCGCTAATCGCGTCTTAGTTAGACAATCAAGAATTTAGATGAAGAGAGTTGTGATTCAAAGAACTTAAAATTAAAAACCAATTAAAATCATGCAATTAAGAAAATTTAGAATTAAAAGAATGAATGAAGATGGTGTTTGATTAAGAATTTAAAACAAGTGTAGTTAAGGTTTCGACTTTCCCCAATATCCTCAATATGTTATGAATTAAATAGCCAAGAATCCGTTTCTTAATATATTGTCAATCAATTATATCTAAGTTAATTACGGCTCAATTCCTTGTTACCATAAATCTATGTAATCTTGAAAGAACTCTAGTTCCCCGATTATTCCCCACGAAAACATGCATTAAGATCAAGAATTTCAAGATTGCATAATTACCCTATGCCTATTCCTAGATCACAAGGATTATGATAAATTATCAAGTCAGGGTTCATGCACCAACATCCCTATTGTCATACAATTCCCCAAAATCATTCTATAAGGAACAAACTCATAGAAAGCATTAAAAACAGATAATTTATTCAATTATAAAAAGAACAGGATTCAGAGACAATTTAATTCATAAACATAACGATTCAATTGGGTTCCATCTACCCTTAACTACATAAAAGACTACTCTAGCATACTGAATTGAAAAATAACAATAATAAAGAAAAGAGAACCCCAAGCCTCCATTGGTGTGATGTTGACTTGGTTTCTCAGTGTTCTAGCGCTCCGCAACAGGATTCCTCCTTGGAGTATGAATGGGGATGAAAGAATTTCTGAATAAGTCTTTTGGTTATGACCCCAAGTTCCTTATTTATAATCTTCAAAGCCACAACCATAATTGTATCTTCACATGAATCCATATCAGATTTGTAATTGATTCTCTAATTGTTTCCTTTTTGCAATTAATATCTTGCGGATTGGTTGAGATATTTGAGCTTTTAAATTTTCTTATAATCTTCCTTCAATCTTCTCAGGAATCAGCTTTGATATGTTTCTGCTTTAGTTCCATCTCATAATAGGACAAATCCTTATTAAATCTCAGCAAATCTTAGTGAATCTTTGCTGTCTGGAACGTGCTTGGGCGCTCAAGTGTGTTGTTGGCCGCTTGAGTGTGCCAAGTTACTGCAATTTTGTTGTTGCTGTCTGCCTGAGCGCGCTCGAGCGTGCTACTGGGCGCTCGAGCGTGCTCCTCGAGTCTGGATTTGTGTATTCTTGGGCGCTTGAGCGTGCTGTTGCGCGCTTGAGCGCCCTGATGTGCCCAGTTTGGCTGTTTTTCCTGCTTCCAAACGTTCGAGCGTCCTCTTGTGCGTTTGAGCGTGCTTTTCTGGACTTTGAATTGTAATATTTTGGTTTTCTTGATCCATATTGAGCCGCTACTTCTTCGTCATGATTTCTTTAGCATTTTTAGCACCAATTCTTGTGGTTTTACCTTCAAAATGCAAATATTATCAAAACGTCAGCTCAAATTTCCTATCTTATGACTTAAATGTATTAAAATCTTGAATTCCATGCATTTTACTACATAATTCTTGTATAATTTACCCTAAAAAAACATGGTAAACCAAAGATTTATCAAACATTCCCAGATTTGAATATTGTTGTCCTTAGCAATCAACTAGAATAGAAAGTAGGAATCTCAGAAGCATAGAATTTGGAAGGAATTTATAGAGACAGAGCATTCAGATTATAAACATTGCTGCATCAATTATAAGATTCATAATTCATCAGAGAGAATTGCAACAAAATTCTTAAGATCAAGAATAAGAGAAAATTACTGAAACATTCCCTCACTAGGAATTTAATTCACTCAAGCTCAATCATCTGGAGGGTTGGTGTTTCACTCGTTTCCCACTGAATCAACATTACCATAGGCTTGCTTATATTCTCGCTTTCCAAAGTATTGTGACGTATCTCAAAGTTCAAGAGGTCTTTCTTGGGTTATAACTTGGCCTGGCTAAAGGAAAGAAAATTTAGAGAAGGAGCTGCAAGATTAAAATTCAAATTTTCTCGAAGAGGAACTTATGCATTTGTTTACATTTGTAAACACTTTCTTTCTTCTTTTCGGTCCATTCTTCTTCTTTTCCTTTTTGAACTTTCTCTTGTTTGTCGTTCTCTTCCTCAGTATCAATTTTTCTTTCTTTCTTTTCACTTTGCTTCCTGAGGATTTTTC